CAGTCCCGATGTTCCACCTCCCAGTCTAACATATTTGTAAGCAGCAGCTCCATTTATCATACATTTACCCTTAAAAAAAGTATAATTCAGTTAACACCACCCTCCCATTCTGTATACCCCAGACAAGATATGTGGGAGTTAAAAACTCCAGACTCATTTCTAAAGTGCGTCAGCAGGTAGTAAACAGACAGCAGACTGGTGGCACTTGGAACAAAGCCATACCTTTCTAATGAGATGTCATGTTTCTATTACTAATGCCCATTCTCTGATATGAATACTAAAACATTGCTGCAGTAACAGTCATAGGCGTTAAAAAGGACATGTTCTGCTGTGCTGTGTGTTATTCAATGTTAAAATGAAGGAGAGTCATGACAATCCTCAGGTATCAAATCATAACGGTGATAGCATTTATTTTAAAACCCTTTTACTTTGTGAGAGGTTTCCAAAAGCATATACATCGTACATTGTGCTGGCACTAAAGTAAGCTTGTTGTCCTTTCAAAATAAGCAACATTTGCCGATGAAAGGAAATTGAAAGCATGAAGCGATATCATGTTTGCATTCTTTATGTAAAAATAAATGGAATGTATTAGCAGGACATGAATTGCTTGATGAAAAAGTACTCAAGAATTAGAGGTCACAGCCATTCCAGTGCTTTATGAAGCTGTTTTTTGGCATAGCGATGCCTTGAGATACATATTAAGATGTTAAGTGTAGTTTATCGTGTTAGCATGCAAACAATTCAGAGAACTGTCAGTGATCACAGTTCATCCTGAGGGGAACATGATTGTCTGCACCAAATATAAATCCAACAAATTGCTATCGAGAAGTAATAATAAAACCAACAAAGGACTATAAAAAGTCGGACAGCTCTGAAGATCATTGATATCTGTAATTTTCTGCTTTACCTTTTTATACAAAACAACCCTTGTTGAGATGATAAACCTGGGGCAATAAAACAAAAAGGAACACGTGTTTTTAGCCTAGAACAATGGATTATGTCTTTTGAAATAAGAATCCAACACGCTGCCTGATCATAGGCTTTCAATTAGTTGTCTCTAGCATCATGCCACCCTGAATGATCAATGAATTTCAAGGAATCATCAAAGTCATAAACATCTGTCCTCTGCAGAAAATGGATGTACTTCACAAACGTATTTCAATTTAAAGAAAACTGCATGATAATACAAGACAAAAGTCTACAGGGATGTCAGCAGCACTGTGACGCTGTGCTTTCAGCTAACAGCACGCTAAAATGTTAAAAACAACAATGCTTAATGTGACACCTCTGGGCTTTTGAGTTATTTCAATTATGACAAAAGTGCTGTCCTGTAAGTTAAAAGTGCTCGAAAATACAAGGGAGAATTGCTTATTTACAACATTTCTATTTTTAATAACTTCAATCCCATCCAACACATTAGGGATGAACAGAAACACCCACAAAATCAATGTTTAACCTCACTAATGCTCTCTGAATAAGAGCAAATTCCTGCATGCGTGTGTTCAGCCTGCTGCGGTGGTCTGATTCATCTCAGTAATTAACTCGGCAGATACAACCCAACATACTCCATCTCGGTATGAGGTCCAACAATCTGTAAAGCAGGAGCCAATTCAAGCAAGGCCTATCAATATGATCCCCTGGCCTAAATCAAACATAATCCTTTCTCCTGTATTTTGGCACACCTCCCCACACACTGGGAGACAGATATAGGACAAGGTTAATTGGGATCATGGTGCGTCACTGCCCAGCTGGGCCACTCTTGGCTCTCGAACCATCCATATGTCATCTACGGGATGATGCTGACGTGCTCAATGATCCCTTCACTAGTGTGAACACCTGGCTGCAGCTAGAGACCAAACACATTGAGAGGCTGCAAGAGAGGGCCAAACCTCCAATAGGTGTCTATTAGTCATTGAAGCCCAGTTCTAGGAGCAGCAGAGGTGGTCAAAATCAAGCAATGGTCCTCCATGGGCTACTGACAAGTGTGTTAAACCCAGATTACTGCTCAATGACTTTGCTCAGGTCCTGAAAGCTTGGTGACATACTGTACTGATAGTTGGTTATCAACGGGACAGTTACTTCATTGGACATGGAGATTTTTACCGTCAAACCTACATGTCTTTTGTGGAAAAGTAACAATGTAATCAGTCAAATGTGAAATGAGACAGCTCAAAAGATATCTTTCTGTATGTTGGATACTCTAATTCACTATTCCCTCAGAGGTCAGGACTGGTAAGGTGCCGGTATATTCCATCAGAACTGCTTGTTGGATGTTTGAATGGCTTTCGGAGCATTAAGGATGAGATTGGTCCAACCAATTCAGAGAGAGTTTGAGTCAAATGTCAATTTTACCGCATGTGAGTCCTGTTTTTGTGCTTCACTGGCTAGCTATTGTCTGTAGCTCTCACTGCGCTCCTGGTGAAGTTACCACTGTTAATGCCGTCTGAACTGGCGGCGTTGTCTTGGAAGAGTAATGATTCACCTGTAGGGTCTGTGAGCACTGTAGCCATTGTTTGCATTCATGTCTGTTAAATTAGGGTTGTATAAGGTACTTATACATATCAAATGTATTAGATAGAGGTCAAAGAAACAGTACCGTCACAGCAGCAAATCAATATACTGTTGGAAACAGGGGCAGAAGCAAAGTGTATAAAACAAAAGCCCACCCAAAAACATAAATAACAGCTTTTTTTATGTAAAGTATGTTGAGATTATTTTCACTGCTGTAATTAGCCTTTAAACAGCTGTTTACAGTGACACTATGCCAAGCACTATAGCCAGTAATCCACTGGTATCTCGCATTTATTTGTGTATGGGAGTGCTTTTTCAAGATCATACTGAAAAAAAACAATTAAAAATCATGCAGGCTACAATTAACATATAGGACCAATGGATGATTATACACATTGCTAACACAAGTGGTCTAAGGTAATCATAGCCTATGTTGATGTCTAACCATCATTATCAAATCAGATGTAATGAGAGCAAAAAACTAACAACAAAAGTATTGCTGTCGCAAATGTTCTTGTGTTTGTTGTGTCTTCTGTAAACTGCTGATGTGCTGTCTAACACACTGACATTGGATAAATACCTCATACAACCCCACTTACAAATATCTGAAAATCCTGAAAATAATCTGTTGTTTTGTAAAATCTACCGTAGCATGGAAACCTATTAGAATATATATCATTTACTGTGATCCAAAAGTTTTTTTAACCATGTACAATCATTCAATAGCAGTGAAAGAGTCAGCTGACCCTTAGAAATCACTACTATTCTGAGTTCTTGTTCGGTTTGTTATGCCTGGATGAACTCCAAACAGCCAAACATGTGTACCACCACAGTGGGCAGATGATGATGTATGATTCAGACTGCGAGTATGAGAATAAGTGCCAAACCACTGGGGTAGTGAACTTCTGATACATAACAAATCAAAACAGCAACCAAACAAGCTGTGGAATCAATACAGAGCAGAGGCCATCTTACTGTTCAAATCTAATTAGATTGCTTACTTGCTGAGGCAATCCCAGTACATGCCTCTGTACTGACTTCATACTCAGTGGCATTATACAGACATAGGAGAAGTTAAGGTTTTAGGGCAAAGTTGGAAATCAGATTATTGTCTTTTATTATATAACATGTTACTTGTTAGACGCTTTTATCCAAAGCGATTTACATACTCAATACTGTGGGCAATCCCCACAGGAGCAATTTGGGGTGAAGTGTTTCAGGGACACAACGACATGCTGACTGCAGTGGGGTTTGAACCTGTGACCCCCTGATCCAAACACCAAGGCTCTATCCACTGCGCCAAAGCTGGGGAACAATAGTCTTGCAAGGGGGGGCGAAGAAGGAAGAAGAAGGGGGAAGAAGAAAAAGGAAGAAAAAGGAGAAAAGAGGAGAAAAAACGATTCTCCTGTTCCCAATTCCCCTTCTGTAGCATTTAAAAGTGTTTATATACAGTAGTGTTTCAAAAAAAGTATGTATTTGTTTATTTCTTGAGGCGGAAAACACATCCACAAGATTGCAGTATTGAATCCCAACTCCGTCAGTATTGAAGTGTATATAGAACATGAGAGGAATGAAAGTGCTTGTGTTGCATATCTTAACATTAATTCATTAGAGATATTGACTGATAAGACTTGTGTTATACAGTTAACTATTAATACATTTCTATTAAATATTAAATATTAAGTAAAACTTATTTACTTCTTTCAAGTTTATTAAATACTTTTTTTTAAATCAGGGATAGTTTTTAAGTCACCGATATGGATTTTTATTGAAACTCATTGTTTGTGTGCTGTGGATAAATAATACAAATATAACCATTACATTAATATCAACTAAGGTATAGGTTTCATAATTATTTTTGTTTTTGGCTTTCGAACAGGTGAACGAAAAAGTATAGAAATTGTAAACATAGCACTCCACTACAAGTATTGGACAGACACTAGGCATACTTGAAAAAGCCAAACCTTTATTTTATGTTAGTTAAACATAATAACATTTAAAACAGTAGTAAAAACGGTATAACAAAATAATGATAATAACACTCTTAAATAGAAGATAAAATTACTATATACAATTTATACATAANAATTAGGAGATGATATCTAAATCATGAAACAACTTGTTTGCTCTCCTTCTACGCTTAATTTTGGAACCAAACTTATTTGTGCCTTTCATTGCGTGCAGCAAGAAGGAGAGCAAACAAGTTGTTTCATGATTTAGATATCATCTCCTAATTTGTGCTTCTAAACTAAAAATAATGTTATAATACTATAAAATAAGTGTAGCTCAATGTTCATTTGCACCTGTGCTCAAATCGCGACTTCAAACTCTATGAAGACAAATGCAAATTAAAGAAACTGTGCATAATTTGAAATTCAACGTTATGGATGTAATTTTCTCTCAGATGATTCAGAAAATTAATTTTAGCGTCCTGAGGTTAAAACACACTGATTGACTGCACCATTATAACAGTTTTCTTACTTATTAATCTTTTTTAACTGTGTTTAAGTTTGCACCAAGTACACCAAGACACATTCCTCGTATGTGCAAGTTACTTGGCGATATTTCCGATTTAAAACAAACGTACCGGTGAATCCCGGCGTGGCAGCGGCCATCTTCCTGGCGAGGCCGTCTTTGTCCATAGTGGGGTCCGTCTTGATGGGCCTCAGGTGAACTTTAAAGATGGACGCCCTGCCCTTAATGTCTGGAGGACCTGAGAGGAGACGGGAGAAAAAAAACAAGCTTCAGGAAAATATAAAAAGGGGAAGAGAACATGTCCGAGTACAGAGCCTTGCGGGACGCCACGACTACATTTTGCCGTGCATTGAGGATTCTTTGTTTACACATTTCTGAGATTGCTCTTATAGTAGGACTCAAAACAGCTCTGACTGGTTCCTTTATTTGAAGAAAAATGTGCTCATATTTAAATGTATAATTGTGTTGGACTCACCGATATAGATCTGCCTGTCAAAGCGTCCCGGTCTCATCAGAGCCGGATCCAGGATGTCGGGTCTGTTGGTTCCTGCCAGGACGACCACGTTAGTCGACGTGTTGAACCCTGCAGAAAAAAACACAACAACTAAGTCAAGATCTAAAACATTGTTGTTGCTTTACAACACAAATTGGAGAGGCTAAATATGAAGACAACATCTTAGGAGTGCTTGAGGAATAATGCCGGTGTTTTTGTGGGAAGTAAACGCCATATCATGGATTATCAAGGATTCTCTCTGAAACAGTATGGAGCTCAAAGGCTTTCTCTCTTGCCGGTTATACCACAAGGTGAGTTCCTTTTGATTTCCTGCTTCTTCACACACATGCTCTCCAGTACAGGTTAGCTCTGAGTGTTAGCGATGCTAATGTAAACACCGACCATATTACATCCAAAACAGTCGGGCATTGTTTCTGATAGCAACGTTTCTGATTGGGCCGTGGGTCCACATTTCAGATATTACGTCATATCGGACTCAAATCTGGATCAGCTCCGTTGTTCCCCCGTTTTTAGAGATTTGGGTACGGAGGAAAAGAGAGAGGGTTTTATTTTCTGACGCTGCGTGAGTTCCCCGACACACCGGGGACACATCTTGATGTATAAAAGACATCAAATGCATGATAGGTCCCCTTTAATAAAATGTAAATAATCTCCTGGTGAAGTTTATTTTCTTTAATTTATATTGTATGGAAAAGATTTAGTTTTATTTTTACTTGTATGGACAAAATAAGTAGATTTAAAAAAGTGAACAAAACCGATAAAAAAAGTCAGTTAGTAAAAAGTACTC